CCTTGCATAAGCTAAGCAAGTACTCACTACCCCAGCCTTCTCCCTTGCCTTTGCCTTTATTTTCCTCTCACTTTTTCTTTTGATGTGTGTGTGTCTCCTCCACACAGATTCATATGTACAGATATATATATATGCATATATATTTATATTTATATATATACACACACATACATATAAAGGGGCTTTTAGAGAAGTCATTATTTACATAAAAATAGGATTACAATATAAATGCCTCTCTGAAACTTGCTTTTCTTACTACTGGACATTATCTGTTTCTAGAGATAGATCTAGATGTTTCCCTTAATAACTGCATTCTATAGATACTGTTATGTAATCATTCCCTTGCTGGTCGAAGTTGTTGATTTACTTTTTGCTAAAGTGAATAATATTGTAGTCAATAACCTTATACATTAATCTAATCTGTGCATTTATTTACCTATAGGATATGACTCAGGATTCTATATATTTTTTAATGAATACTAATTATAAAAAGATTATACCATTTCAGCAACAGTGCGCACAGTTAAAATCCAGATCCTGATCTAAATATCTTTCCTCTCTAAAAGGAACTTGTGGAATGGCTTTAGCAGATAAAAGACAAAGTCAGCCCAGGATATCTTATGCCAAATAAGCAAGAAATCCTGAAAAACAAATGAGGTCTTCTAAAGAGGATATAAAGACTTAAATAAAAGAGTTAGCTCACTAAATTTGGGGAAATTTGAACATCAAACAAATAATTTTAATTATACTGCATTGAGTTGTTTTTAAAAAATGACTCTGGTGATACTGAACAAAGGTGATAGAGGGGAACAATAAAGCCCTTTTAAAAATATTAAGGCTAAGCAAATTGTCACCTGTCTGTAATCCCAGCTATTTGGGAGGCTGAGGCAGGAGGATTACAAGTTTGAGACCAACTTTGGCAGCTTAGTGAGACACCCTGTCTCCAAAAAAGAGCTGGAGGTGTTAGTTCAGTAGCAGAGCAATTGCCTAGCATATGTGAGGCTCTGGATTTGGTCTCCTGCACTGTTAAAAAGGAAAAAGAAAAACAGGAGAAGAATACTAGCTCATGAATAACAATATTAAAAAGACATCATTTGCCATTTGCCATTCCTAGTATAATATATAAAAATTTTCAGGTGAAAATTTTTATATATTATATCATGAATGCCAAAACCCTGGAGAAATGATGTTGGACACATGGGGCACAGATTGGTCACTTACCAATCACAAAGGGAAAAAAATACTTTTTTTTTTTT